TGATCCTTTTATTATGAAGCATCTCTGTCTCTAGTAATATTTATCTTTGCTTTTGCTTTAAGATGTGCTAGACTAGAATTCTCTGTGTGGCCCATGCTGGCCTCAAAATTATTCTCCTGCCTCTTAACTCCTGAGTGCTAAGATTACAAATATGTGCCACAAAGCCTAGCATATTTCTTAAAGTATTTGGTTAGTATTTGGTTTGTTAGTTAGGTAGCTACTCCAACTGTTTTAGGAGTGTTTGTATAGTATAATCTTTCCATCCATTTTCTTTCAATTTATTTTTTGTTGGGAATCTAAAGTAAAACTGTTGATAATACCTAGTTGTTGGATCTTGCTTTATTTATAGACAAGGTTGTACTATCATGGCCTAAGTTGGCCTCCAACTCACAGTCCTTTCAAGCAGCTGAGATTACAGGCAATATTATGTCACTTATTTTTTACAGTATTGTAAAAAGGATGTGTGCTGCATTAACTTTTCCTGGGAAAAGATGAACAAACATCTCTTGACCTCAGATAAGGCACCAATGACAACAACAACAACAACAACAACAACAACAACAACAAATTCCACCTCAGTAACTTGGCGAACCAATGAATATAATTGGAGTTACTTACAGAAACATGATGGGTGAGGGGTTACCTACAGGACCATAGGCAATTTACAGGTGGACACATCACCAAAGAAAGTGTGTCATCCTCCACCCCTAGCAACTGTCTTCTGCATATGTATCCTTCGGCAGGGCAGGACCTCATGCACCCTCTCTCCAATCCATTAAAGAATGTTAAAAGGCCCTATCTTGTGAGGGTCTTGTGCAGGTAATCAAGATGTCAATAGCTATGCCATGCCTGGAGGACAGCATTCTACCACATTCTATCACTTTTTTTTTTTTTTTTTTTGAGACAGGGTCTCCCTGTAGCCCCAGCTGTCCTAGAACTCACTCTGTAGACCAGGCTGGCCTTGAACTCACAGAGATCCGCCTGCCTCTACCTCCCAAGAGCTGGGATTAAAGGCATGTGCTACCACACCCGGCTATCACTTTCTTCAGTGCTTACATTCTGCCTGCCTTCTTTTCTGAGATGTTCTCTAAGCTGTGGTGGGGCTGATATAGATGAACCGGTAAGGGCTAAACATTCTAGTCTCTCATTCTGAGCACTTTGCATAGTTATGAGTCTCTGTAGTAACTACCACCACCATGCCCACTCCAGCAAAAGGAAGCTTCCCTCACCAAAGCTGACAGTAGCAATAATCTATGGGCATGAACAGTTTTTTTTTTTTTTTTAGACAAGTAGGGTCTCCCTGTAGCTTCAAAGCTGACCTGGAATCTACTATGTAGACCAGGCTAACCTTGATCTCACAGAGATCCTCCTGTCTCTGCCTCCCAAGTGCTAGGATTTAAGGTGTGCACCATCGGGGCTGGAGAGATGGCTCAGTGGTTAATTCACTGACTGCTCTTGGAGAGGACCTGGGTTCCATTCCCAGCACTCACATGCCAAGTGGCTAACTGTCCATAATTCCAGTTCCAGGGGATCTGACACCTTCTGACCTCCACCAGCATTGCATGACATGGGTGCACTTACACATATGCAGGCAATACACATACACATAAAAATAAAATATTTTTTATAAAAAAGGTGTGCACCATCACACCTAGCCTTGAATCCATATTGATTGTTTTGTTTTGTGTGTATGAGTGTATTGCCTGCATGTAGGTGTAGGCACCTGTGTCACAGTGCTACAGAGGTCAGAAGAGGGTGTCGGATCACCTGGAACTGGAGTTACAGAGTTATTAGCTGCTGGCAACCTGGTTCCTCTGCAAGAGCAGCCAGTGCTACTAACCGCTGAGCCATCATCTCTCCAACCCCTGAATTCACCCCCCCCCCCTTTTTTTTTTTTTTTTTTTGTCTTTTTGAGACAGGGTCTCCCTGTAGCCCCAGTTGGCTTGGAACTCACTTATGTAGACCAGGCTGGCCTTGAACTCATGCCTGCCTCTGCATCCCAAGTTCTGGGACTAAAGGCCTGTACCACCACGCCCAGCTAAATTCACATTTTTTAAAAAAAAATTCACCCATTTTTAATGAACACGTATGAACTGTCATTTTCCTGTGTTGGTGGCCATTAAGTAGTTTTCGTTTGTATGTTTTTGGAGACAGCCTTTCACTGTGTAACTCTGGCTGGCCTGGAACTTGCTATGTAGACCAGTCTAGCCTCAAACTCACAGAGATCTGCCTACCTCTGCTTCCCAAGTGTTAGGATTAAAAGTGTACACCACTCCACCTGGCACATTAGGTAGTATATTTTTTCATTATTACCAGTTAGGTTTCAATGAACACTCTTGTCTCAATATTTTTGTCTTTTTTTTTTTTTTTTTTTTTTTTTTTTGACAGGGTTTCCGCGACAGGGTCTCCCTGTAGCCCCAGCTGGCCTGGAACTCGCTAAGCAGAGTAGGCTGGCCTCAAACTCACAGAAATCTGCCAGCCCCTGTGCTGGGATTAAAGGCATGCCTCACCACGCCTGACTTGTCTCAGTATTTTTACAAGCTTATGCTAGTGTTTCTAGACAGCAGATTGCTAGATGTGGAACTGTCAGTTCATGAATTTTGCAAGTTTGTCAATACTTGCAAAAGATTCGTCAAAGATTCTATTAAATTTCCATCAAAGTTGTATTAACTGAAGTTTCAGCCAATGGTAATTGGGGAGAAATTCCTTCTTTATCAATACTACATATTATAAAACTTAGATTTTTCCCTCTGAAAAGAAAAACTTGGATCTCTCCTCTCTCTCTCTCTCTCTCTCTCTCTCTCTCTCCCATTTTAATGCCATTAGGATATATACTGGGCTTCTTATTTTATTTTCAGGGTTTTTTTTTTTTAATTTATGTGCATGTGTCTATGTGTCTATGTGCATATATGCTTTGTGCATTTAAGTGCCCACGGAGGACAGAAGAGGGTGTTGGACAGCCCCCCACAGGAGGTTGTGAGCCTCCTGATGGACGTGCTGGGAATAGAACTCTGGTCTTCTGGAAGAGCAGCGCACACTCTTAACTGCTGAGCCATCTCTCCAGCCCCCTACAGTGCACTTCCTATCAAAGGATGTGGACATTGACTCTGGATTTGCCACTTTTTAGCAATGTGGCTGTCTCTAACCAGTGACCTGTTTTTCACCAGGACTTCAATATCTGCCTTATGGGATTATGAGGGTCAGATGAAACCATCCACTCATGCAGACAATCATTGTGATGAAGTTAAAATGAACCGTTAATTATGGAGGAAAATCCCAGCAGGATGGTTATTGCAGTAACTTTTTCTGACACATGAGCAAATATCCTCCCCAGGTAGAGCATCAACCACAGACCGGCCTAAGCATTCCGCCATAGTCCAGCTTGGTGAACCAAGGAGTCTATTGGGCTTACTTGCAGAGCATGGACAAGGAGCTACTTACAGCAGTGTGGATGACCCAAAGCAGGTGCCACACTACAAAGTCCCACCCCATTATTGATGCCTACTTCATGGAAGGCATATCATGGAGAGCCCTGCACAACTTGCAGGCAGCTTGACCAACTGGAGTCTCCTGTCCTAGCGATTCTTTTCTTTTACAACCTTGAGGAGAGATCTTGCAAATCTTACAACTTTTAGAAGCTTCGGGAGCCTTGTAAGCTTTGTTCTCTTCCTGAGCCTTATGAGATTCCTTCCTTCTTCTAGGAGGGAGTGTTTCAGTTCTGAGGAAATAGCTACCCAACATTGGTAACAGTAAACATTGATTTTTACAGAGTGCCCTGTGTGACAAAGTACAAACTGCTCCTAGCCCTGTGCATCTGCTCAAATGCAGTGAGTTTAATAGGGCACCTTCTTGACCATAGCTACACCATGTTAAAGTTTAGGCTGACTCTAGCCTCTGAAGTTATCGGGCAGTTAGCCCAGGGTATGGGAACACTTGTCAGCTGGATCCCGGTTGTCTTGGGAACAGGTCAGAGTGTACCTGCTAAGTCCAGATTTATGGTGTCTGTAGGTTATGCTTGGCTTGCTTCTACAAAATAGTAATTGTTATTTACATTTTTGCAGTTTTATTCATTAAGATACACTACATGCTTATTTTCAATTTCAGTATATGATTTACACTTTCATCACAAATTACAGAATGTGGTTGATATTTTTAATTTTTATAAAGAATGTATAATGCATAAATTTGCTAATTGTTAATAAAAATGTTTAAATCTTAAAAAAAATAGTAATTGTTACTTAGTAGAAATTGTTAAGGGGGCTCTCCATCTGTAAGCTTGGGAACTTAAACTTTTTACCCCTAGTTATGGTTTCCCTGTATAAAAGCTTAGTCTAGAGATGGCTCGGTACTACACCTTCGGTTCTGACAGTAATGACTTTCATTCGGCAAAACTTTGTCTGAGTGGTCTTCTCTGGTGAAGCACTCCACAACGTGAGGAAGAGGGATAGGACCACAACTCTAGGTGCCCAGCTTTTGTTGCTCAGGCTTGGACCAGCATGGGCATTTGTTGTTCACCCTTTCCTCATTCTCCATCATAATCAATCATTGGAGGGCCTAAACCAGAAGAGAAAGATGAGCATCCCAGCTTTAGGTCCCTCCCGACAGATGTGCATTCGTCTTCTAGATAGTCTAATCTTTTTGTCTCACTGGTAAGAAGACAAGGCTGGGGAGATGGCTCAGTGAGTAAATGCACTTGCTGTAAATGCTTGAGTATCAGGTTTGGATCCCTAACACCCACATGAAAAAGGTGGGTGTGGCCATGCGCACTTCTAAGGTCAGCATTGGGGGTGGGGTGGGGATGGAGGCAGGAGGATTCCTCACAGCCAGCCTAGCTGAAAAAGGGTGAGCTCCAGACTCGGTGAAAGACATCGTCCCAAGAGAATGGGGCAGAGAGCAATAGAAGAGGATGCCCAAGGTCCTCTTCTGGCCTCCACCCTCCAAACAGGCACTCCCACGCCCACACCCACACATACACACACATGAATGAAGGAACAGAAATCTGTTGAAGATTCAGATTTTGACTTTATTTCAACTGATTGTAGTAGATAACTATAGTATAAAATAAATTTCTTTCAAAATCATTGGCCCCTCCCTGAAAAAAAAATCACCAGCCCAAATCCATCACTAATGATATAATCAATCATTCATTAGGAGAAGATCCTCCAGCCATGCCATTCATCGCCTTAACACAGAATCTGCTTCCTGTAAAGTGTGATCCTCTGGGCACTGCTGGAGTGAGGCTTTCCCATTCAGCTCCTGTCCCTGGTGTTTCTGTTTCTGCCCACACCTTGGCTGGGCTTTCTAGTTAACCTCAAAAGCAGGGAATCTAAATTCTTTCAGGATATTTGGATCTTATGCTTTAACTCATACTGCCTCTAAGGCTAAAAGATAGTTCAACTGACCCTAATGCTTATAAAGTGAATTTAAAAAATTTTAAGATTAAAAAAAAATTTAAATTATGTGTGTGTATGTATATGCATGTGAGGCCAGAAAAGGGTGGCACCTGACATGGGTGCTGAACTGAACTTCAGTCCTCTGCAAGAGTTCAGGTGCTTTTAACTGTCGAGCCACCTCCTTAGCTCCCAAAGTGAATCTAAGAAGAAATGTTCGGGCAAAGCAGGGTCCAGACTCCTTTTTGCCCTTCAGTGACCTTGGGAATGTTTAGAGAAAGGTAGAGGCAAAGAAGTGGACTTGAATTTGCATAACCTGAACTCAAGTCATTGTTAAGATTGTTACTAACTTCTGATGGGTGGTTTGAGAAGAGACAGAAAATGAGTACCATCAAAAGAAAGGAAGAGTGAGGAAAAAAAGACAGAGGTAGGATAGAGTGCTGGAGCCTATAATAGCATGAGAGTCCCCCGGAACCACTTCTGGGCTAGGGCCTTAGATGATAGCATTAGTTGCTGGGGTCATTTGCCCTCTGAACTGCACAGAGAATAGAGCTGATCATTAGACAGGGCCTGAAGCCAGTTGTTGGAAAAGGAAATCAATATTCAGGCTGATTATTCAGCTATCATCTATATGGTTTAACACACAGGATCACTTTCAAAGCTTCTAAATCTTCACCTCATCTCTGGATAGGAGGCAGGCTAGTGAGGACCCAGCCTGGTCCTGAACCAGGTCGTCTTCAGCCTTTAGGCTGCAGAGAACTTGAACCAGGTAGTATGGTTGTACTCCTCCCCAGGCTTCAGCATCACAGGAGGGAAGTGGGGCTGTGAAGGGAAACACCACAATCATACTTTGCTAGTCATGGCCACACCATCAGTCACACAGAGTGTGTCTCTGTACTAGTCTCTGGGCCAGTGTTGTAGACCAGTGCCAGTGTGGGGCCAGTGTATTACTGATTTGCAATGAAATGAAAAAAACGAGCCAGAACGAAAAACTACCACATGACCAAGCCTACTTCGTCAAAGCAAGACTTGCTGGAGGAAGCAATGCAATGGATTTGTGTTGTATTTCGGAACAAGGCACAAGCTTCTTATCTTGGACTGATACTTGGAGGAACATTGTTCTAAGTAACAGCTAGAGAAAAAATAGGAGAGAGAAAATTGAGAGAAAAGGTTCAGAAGATCTGCTTAAGTGTGGTTGTGGGCCAGCAAGATGGCTTAGAAGGTAAAGGTACTTGCTACCAAGCTTGATGACCTGTTTGATCCCCAAAACCCACATGGTGGAAGGAGAGAACTGACTCCTCCAAGTTGTCCTCTGACCACACATGTGCCATTGCATGCCAGCCCAACCCCCAACACACAAAAGGTTTGGTTACAGAAAATGAGTGTGTGTGTGTGTGTGTGTGTGTGTGTGTGTGTGTGTGTGTCGGGGGGGGGCGGTGACAAGGAGAGACATGACAAGGAGATGTTGATGGTATAAAATTTGAGCCTGTTTGTATTTTTGAGATAGGGTCTCCCTGTAGCCCAGGCTGGCCTGAAACTCGCTATATAGAACAAGCTGGGATTAAAGATGTGTGCCACCACACTCAGCAAGCTTTTTTTTTTTTTTTTTTAATTTAATGTGTATGAGTGTTTCTTGCATGTATGAAAGTGCACCTGTGTCATGAAATGCCCACAGAGGTCAGAAGAGGGTGTCCAATCTCCTGGAACTGGAGTTGTGGACGATTGTTTGCTGTCATGTGGGTGCTGGGAACTGAACTTGGGTCCTCTGCAAGAGCAGCCAGTGTTCTTAACCACCGGCCCATCTCTCCATCTCCAAAATTTGAGCTTTTAAAAACAATTATTTAGCCGGGGATGGTGATGCATGCCTTTAATCCCAGCATTTGGGAGGCAGAGGCAGATGGATCTTTGTGGGTTTGAGGCCAGCCTGGTCTACATAGTGAGTTCCAGGACAGCTGGGGCTACAGGGAGACCCTGTCTCAAAAAGACAAAAACAAACAACCCCCCTCCCCCCCAAAAAACCCACAATTTATAAGGATAGGTTTTCTATGGTTAGCTTAAATTGAAAACAAAAGACATGGAATTTTGAGCCATATAGCCTGACTTGAGTATTGTAACCTGTCATATTGTGTAGTAGCTCAACACCACTCTGACAGGTCAGCTTGTGACTTTACCTGATTGACTGCATCAGGCCAGTTCTGGGTCTCAAGGCAGAAACCAGAGTGCTTGGGATAGACTGCTCTGCTCTTGCCCTTCAGGGTGCCGTCCAGGAAGTTGCCTGTGTAAAACTGGACGCCAGGCTGGGTGGTGTACACTTCCAGTACTCGTCCACTTCCAGGGTGACGTACCCTAGGGATAAAGATAAGCCATATTTGAGTCCAGGGCAGAAAGGCAGCAGGGAGGGAAGAAGCTGGGAAACAGCTCTGGGACAGGAATTAGACCTAGCCACAGAACAGGGGCAAGAAGTAAGGAGGATTCTGGGCATGGTGGCACAGGCCTTTAACCCCAGCACTCATGAGGCAGGGAGGTGGATCACTGTGAGATCAAGGCCAGCCTGGTCTATATAACAAGTTCCAGGTCAGCCAGAGCTACAGTAAGACCCTGTCTCAAAAAAACAAAAAGGAGGAGATAAAAGAAGGAAGATCAGAATGAAGATTCCCTAAGCCTCACTGGGATCCTTAGTATCAATTTTTTGCACTAATCTTGGCTTTTCTGGGGAATGCCAAAACAGACTGACACCAGCCAGCTGGGGTATGGTAGGGAGAGAGTAGCCAGGTGGAGAGAGGCAATTTTAGGGTCCTGAGATTCTTCTGTTGTTGAACCCAGGACCTTCGGCCTGCAAGGTAGGCACTCTGCCACTGAGCTACCCTTCCCCAGGGGTTGGGATTCTTAAAAGATTATTTTTATTTTTAAAAGACGTATTTTCAATTGTGTGTGTGTGTGTGTGTGTGTGTGTGAGTGTGCATGCATGCACCTAAGATCAGAAGCAGGTGTCGGATGCCCTGGAGCTGGAGTTATAGGCAGTTATGACCTGCCCAACTTGGGTGCTGGGAACTGAACTGGGTTCCTCTGCAAGAGCAGCACATACTTTTAATGGATACGTCATATCTCCAGCCCTGAGAGCTCTCTTTTGGTATGGTGATAACCAGCCATGTCTTAAGAAAGAAAGAAATGTTTTTCTGAACTGAACTTCCCTTCCACGGACTTCAGCAGACTGGTTTTAGTCTCCCCTAGAGCAGTCCTGCTGTGGGTTTCTCCTGATTCACTCACTCACTCTTTTTTAAAACCAAGCTTCTGCAGGGGTAGAGATACTACTTGAGCCTGTACTTCTGTCAAAGAAAAGCCTGGGTCTTATAGTCTCACCAGGAGGCAAACCACACACATGAAATTCTTCAAACAAAATAAATTGTTGGGCTGGTGAGATGGGTCAGCAGGTAAAAATATTTGCCACACAAGCCTGATGACTCAAGCTCAATTCCTGGAGCTCAGGGTGAAAGGAAGAGAACTAACTCTGAAAGTTGTCTTCTGACCTCCACAGGTTGCTGTCATACACACACACACACACACACACACACACACACACACACAAAAAAAAAAAAATTTTTTTAAATGTTTGGGAAGAGGAGGTCCGGGTTTGAATCAGTGGGGACCAGACAGGAGTGGCTCCATGTGGAGGGGCAGTGAGGAGAGTTACAAGGTATGAAAATCTCTTGAGTTAGAGGAGCCAGTGGGGGGCTTGGTGCTGGGGCTCTGAGTTGGAGGTTTGGGAAGTCCTTTCTGACTTGATTAGAGTTTGAATCTTCTTTTATCCCTAAATCCTTTGATTCTACAACTATGAACTGATTACTTGCTAGTGCCAAGCATGGCATTAGATATTAGAGTAGAGGTCAGAATTCACGAACACAAAAACGGCCTGAGGAACTGGGAATTCAGTGATGAGAGCAAACAAGTTGGGACTAGTGAGAGCTGCAAGAGAAGCGTAGCCTCCAGCTCTTCCCAGGAGTGAGCAGGGCATAAATCACAGGCCAGGAAGTTACAAAGAGCTCTAGAAGTTCAATGAAGGCAGAGGTGAGAAGGAAAGAAGTAAGACCTCTGACAGAAATGGGCCTTAAAGAACTGGCAGAGAGAGAGAGAGAGAGAGAGAGAGAGAGAGAGAGAGAGAGAGAGAGACAGAGAGAGAGAGAGGAGAGCTACACAGAGAGAGAGAGAGACAGAGACAGAGACAGAGAGACAGAGACAGAGAGACAGACACAGAGAGACAGAGACAGAGAGAGACAGACAATGCTTAGTAGGGGGCCAGGGAGGATGTGAAGTTGGGGAGGATGAAGTCTACAGAATTCACCTGTGGCAGGGAGCTTTGAAAAGACAAGGGATGTGTTATCTGACCCCTGCCTGTAGTGTGTGCTATTGATGTAGCCACAGGGAACACTCCTCAAATAGGAGCTGGTAGCTCTTGTCCCCTACAGAGGTAGTAAGGAAAAAGTATCCAACCTGGCACAAAAATGCTTTTCTTTAGACCCCTTCAGACAGAAATTGTGGTCAAAACCATTGAGGCAGTGCTCCTGCAGGTGTTTTCCAAGCTCCACTGGCTTCCTCAGGTCAAATGCAGTTCCTTCCACTGGAGCAACAAGTCCTGGTGGGAAGCATTTGGAGAAAACACAGGTGGTTTTTAAACCAAGACCATATATAGATATATACATACTATCCTAAAGACCCACTGATTCCATGTTCTCAGCCTCCAAGTTCCATTTGTAGAGGAGATGGGAGCCTGGATCCTAAGAAGGAGAATGAATTGTTGGGTTTTCTTGATTAGATTAGGCAACTGGTTGCAAAATGCAGTAGCTGTAACAATATAAAATGAACGAAAAGAGTGGGAAGGTAGCTTAGTTGGTAGAGTGCTTGTCTAGCTAGCACACAGGGAAACCTGAATTCAGTCCGTAGCATTGTAAAGAATGGACTCTTCCTCTAGGTAGAGACATTCCCTTGTTTCCTTCCTAAAAGGTTAATACAATGGGGCAGGTCAGGGACCTAGAAAGGCAGCTTAACCTTAAGATAATATGTTTTTCCTGCCCCAAATTCCCACCCCCAGTGCAGTCCCTACTAGCTGAGCCACCATGAGATTCACCTAGGTCTGCCTGCCTTTCCTCAGGATGGCATAACTATTTCTTTTTCTTTTGTCTTTTCCTTTTGGATGCTGGCCACAGCCTAAGTGTGCTTTTAAATTTCCCAACTAATGCACTGGGCTTCTTTACTCTTTCTGTTTTTGTTTGCTTTTGTTTTGTTTTTTGAGGCAGGGTCTCCCTGTAGCCGAAGCTAGCCTGGAACTCGCTATGTAGACCAGGCTGGCCTTGACCTCATAGAGATCCACCTGCCTCTGCCTCCCGAGTGCTGGGATTAAAGCCGTGCGCCACCACGCCCAGCTTCTTTACTCTTTCTAAAGCTCCCCTCCCTGATGTGTGGCTGCCTGCCCCAAGTGGCTGACCTCTATGCTGCCTTGTCTCATGCAGCTTGGCTTTTGATTCTTCTCCACTCTTCCTTCCTTCCATGCACTTGGGGGTTTTACAGATTGCCTGCCCTGGGATTTTCCTTTTAAACTCCAGTGTCCTAGAGTTTCCATTTGTGTCTGTTCTTTGTCCTTGACCTTCCATTTGTGTCCATTCTTAAATTATTAATGACACTAAGAACCCCAGTAGGGCACCCTGATTTCCCAGGTATCATGTGATGGCTTTGCTGGGACTCCCCAAGATTTCTGGTAACATCGTTTTTCCCCTGCCTTTTAATTATTAAATTGGTAGAGAAAACCTGTTCTACACCCTTAAACAGCATCAGCATCACATAAAATTAGGTGTGGTTGTGCACACTTACAATCCTAGCACTCAGATGGCAGAGGCAGAGGATCAGAAAGTCATCTTCAGCTACATAGGGAGTTCAAGGCCAATCTGAGATACATGAGACCCTATCTCAGACAAACAAAACTCCAAAATTAAAAGTGTACAAAAAAAAACTGGACTATGGGGTGGGGGGGTTGGAGAGATGGCTTAGCAGTTAAGAGCACTGGTGTTGCTCTTGCAGAAGACCTGAGTTCAAAGCCCAGCACCTACATGGCAGCTAGCTGTAATTCCAGTAACTGTAACTGGATCTGATGCCCCCTTCTGTCCTCTACAGGCAATGCACAACATGGGTGCCCTTATATACGTGCAGGCATAACACTCATAAAATAAATAAATAAATAAATATCTGGATTGGGGAAATGATGGTTCAGTAGGTAAAGCATTTGCTGTGCAAGCATGAGGACCTGATTTCAGCTCTCCAGAACCCAGGTAAAAGCTGGACTCAGTAGTGCTGATCTGTCATCCTAGTGCTCCTATGGCAAGATGGGAGGCAAAGACAGGAGAATCCTTGGAAATTTATGGGCCAGCTATCCCACCTTTGCCAGCCAGGTGTGGTGGTGCACACCTTTAATCCCAGCACTTGGGAGGCAGAGGCAGGTGAATCTCTGAGAGTTCAAGGCCAGCCTGGTCTACATAGTGAGTTCCAGGACAGCTGGGGCTACAGGGAGACCCTGTCTCAAAAAAGAGAACAACAAAAAGATCCCACTTCACTTCCAGGAAGTGGAAGGCGAGGAGCAACATCAGATGTTGCTTTCTGAACTTTGCATGTGCACCATGGCAATGCACATCTGCTCTCACACACACTTACATACATACACATAAATATACATACACATAACTTTTTTTTTTTGGTCTTTTTGAGACAGGGTAGCCCCAGCTGTCCTGGAACTCACTATGTAGACCAGGCTGGCCTTGAACTCACAGAGATCCTCTTGCCTCTGCCTCCCGAGTGCTGGGATTAAAGGTGTGCACCACCACACCCGGCACATATAACTTTTTAAAAAGTTATGTGTATAGGAGCTGGATCGATGGCTCAGCAGCAGTGAGAGCACTTGCTACTCTTGCAGAACCTGGGTTTAATTCCCAGCACCCACATCAAGTGGCTCCCATCTGCCTGTAGCTTCATTGCTGGGGCTCTAACACCCTCTTCTGGACTCCGTGTGCATCAGGTATGCAGGTGATGCTCATTCATACATTCAGGCACTCCACATACACATAAAATAAATCTTTAAAAAAATTGTGTGTGTGTGCATGTGTGTGCACACACATATTGTGAGTGCAGGTGCTTGTGGAGTCCAAAAGAGAGTGTTGAATCCTCTGAAGCTGGAGTTGTAGGAAGTTGTGAGCTTCCCAGCATTCATGCTGGGAACAGAACTCAGGTCCTCTGCAAGAGCAGTACATGCTCTTTCTTAAGTGCTGAGAACTCTCTCTCTCTCTCTCTCTCTCTCTCGCTCTCGCTCTCGCTCTCTCACTCTCTCGGTCTTTTTGAGACTGGGTCTCCCTGTAGCCCCAGCTGGCCTAGAACTCAATGTGTAGACCAAGCTGTCTTTGAACTTACAGAGATCCGCTTGCCTCTGCCTCCCAAGTGCTGGGATTAAAGGCATGTACCACTATGCTCAGTTTAAGATTTTTTTAAAGTACCAAAAAAAAGGTAAGGAAATACCTAATTTCCAATAAAGGTTGTAATGGTTATTGTCATTGTGAACTTGACAGGATTTAGAATCCCCTAGGAGACACATTTTTGGGCATATCTGTGAAGGTGTTTCCTGAGAGAATGAACTGAGGAGGGAAGACCCACCTGAATGTGGGGCCAGCATCCCATGGGCTGGGTTTGCAAACTGAATAAAAGGGGAAAAGAGAAGGTCAGTTGAGCACCAGCATTCCTCTCTCTGCTTCCTGATCTGCCTGGCTGTGAGAAGCAAGCAGCCTCATGCTCCTGCCGCCACAGCCCTGAGCAGCAGCACTCATACCTTCCCCACTGTGATTAACTGTATCCTCTAAACACATCAGCCAAAATAAATCCTTCTTCCCTTCAGTTGCTTCTTTCTTGTCAGGTATTTGGTTGCAGTGATGAGAAAAATAATGAATACAGGGTTAAGTTGGACAAAGGGTAAGGGCTGTCCTATCCCAAGGCTCATAATGAAGCTTTAGCACCTGGCACCTGGCACAAATGACCAGACACTAAAAAGTCCTGAGATTAGTCATTCTGAAATTATTTGGGGCCAGTATTAGCTGGAGGGATGCTGGCAATCTCCCTGTTCCAATCACCTCCTCAATCAGTCTGTGGACACACTCCAAACTGTACTGAGAACAGCATGTGAGTTAACTGAGTCAAAGCTGGAATTAGATTCAATGCTTTGAAGGAAGCAATTCCTGGAGTAATTCTGGTCTAGTGAGCTCTGCCTCCTTGTGTGTAAGCCAGATTCCTCAGCTTTATGTGCAGGTTTTTCTTATCAAGGAGGCTGTCCTGAAACTTTATCACAATGGTGCAGGTGGGTAGCCAGTTCTGAGAGAGGACGCTGCTGTGTGGGGACCAAAGGGCAAAGTATAGAAGGCACCTGATGGTCATCACACAGCTAATGCCCAGTCAAAAACATCCCTGCTCAGGACTGTGGAGCTCAAGGATCAGTGTGGAACCTGAAGAGGCATTGAATCTCCTGGAATTGAGTTACGGACAGTTGTTAGCTGCCATGTGATTGCTGGGACTTAAACCTGGGTCCTCTGCAAGAGCAGCCAGTGCTCTTATAGGCTGACCTATCTTTCTAGCCCCTCTTCTATTTTTTTTTATTTATTTTAAAATTTATAGTATATATGTGTGTCTGTATGTGGGTATGTGCCTGTGAATTGCAGGTACCCAAGGAGTCCAGAAGCGGATATTGGATCCCCTGGAGTTGGAATTACAGGTGGCTGCCCAATGTGGGTGCTGGGAACCAAACTCAGGTCATCTGCAAGAGAGGTACACGCTCTTAACCACAAGTCACCTTTCCAGCCCCTTGTTTTTTTATGTTTTAAAAAGAGGGTTTCACTATGTTGTCTCAGGTTGGCCTTCAGCTCTTTATGTAGTCCAGGCTATCCTGGAACTTGCAGTAATCCTCCTGTCTCAGCCTCCCAAGTACTGCACCATGCCCAGCTCATTCTCCAGCCATTCTTTTTTCTTTTTCTTTTTTGTTGGTCTTTTTGAGACAGGGTCTCCTTGTAGCCCTAGCTCTGGCCTAGAACTTGCTATGTAGACCAGGCTAGCCTTGAACTCATAGAGATACACTGAGTACTGGGATTAAAGTACTGAGTGTCCTTTTTCTATCACACTCTGTCTTACTCCCTTAAGACAGGGTCTCTCACTTAACCTGGAGCTAGGTTGGTGGCCAGCAAGCCCAGCATTCCTCCTGTTTCTATCGCCCACAGTGCTGAGGTTTACAAGCTCTTGTGTGGACAGCTACAACTGACTTTTTAATGTGGGTACTGGGGATTTGAACTCAGGTCCTTATACTTGCATAGAAGTGCTTACTCACTGTACTAGCTCCCCAGCCCAAGAAATCTTAGACAATTTACTATTGAGCTATATCCCTGGTCTTATTTTATCTGTTTTATTGGCTTTTCTCTCCCTCCAATGAAGCAGCCCCTTTTTTCAAAATCATAATATCTGCTAACTTTTTTTTTCTATGACAGTCTTTCTATGTAGCCCAAGCTGGCCTTAAACTCAGTTTTCCTGCCTCAGCCTTATGAATATTAGAATTACAGATGT